AGTAGTTTGGCGTCGACCACTTCTTTCTTTCCGTCGCCTCGTCAATAGGTAAAGACCTGATATGTTGACCATGTGCGCCAAGACTATGAATATAGAATACAGCGCAGTACGTAATCTGTTCAATGAAACAACGTTAAAGATTAACACTCACCAGCAGCGGTTCCGTAATTCTTCAGTCTTCGATATCACAGATTGGCAGTGAATATTCGGAAAAAAAAACATGGCCGCCTTTATACACGTCGCATTGAATATTTTGAGCCTTCTGATTGGTTAACCCTTCTATTGGTGAACTATAAAATGAGTCAGCTCATTTTGGCTGGCTCACTAGTACCACAGGGTACCCAAAAATTCCAACATGATGGACGGGTGAAAAACATATATTATAAAAGAACAGACACCATGGTTTTCCATGCTAAAAGAGCCTCCATTGGAATTGTCTGATATTTATTTGCCTGGACATTCTTGTAGTCCTGAAAGTCTGCAGAGACCCTTGTAGTGGGCCTTGATCTATGGTAAAACAATGCCGCAAAACTTGCATGATAACCACGATTTCTTAAAAGAAAAAAAGACGGGCGGGATATTTGGTCTTAATGGTGTGCCCTTGACATCCAATTTTGAATCAGTGATATCAGTCCTCCTATATGGTAGTGAATGCTGGAGAATCTCCTCAAAGATGAAGAGACTTGAAGCAACAGAAATGTGGCTCTACAGAAGGATGATGAAGATACTATGGACCGAACATGTGAGCAACGAGGAACTTTTAAAGAAAATTGAAGCAAAAAGGAAACTTATACTTAACATCAGGGAAAGAGAGTTTCTAGGGCAAATAATGAGGAAAGAAGGCTTAGAAAATCCGATTTAAAATTTTGTAACACTGGATTTTCAAAATAGTCTAAAAATGTCGCAAGTAGCGATTGTCAAAATTTAGTAGGCTTTCGTCTTCAAAAGTTGACTTAAAATGTATGGAAAATCAAAATTCTTATTTTGATTTTTAAAAGGGATGCATATTGGCCATCTTACCTAGAAATATGTCTTCTAGATTAAAAAATGTATGGCGTCTGTTTTTGCCAAATGTTTTTTTTTTTTAAATGATTTCATGGTTTGATTTGTTTTTGTTTTTTTAAACTGCTCTTGCACTTAACTAGCGGTATAACCCGTCTTTGCCCGAGTCTTTCATTACTGGGAATTTTTGCCGTTCAATTGGAGCAGTTTAAGTGTAAAGTCAGCTCACCCGAAAATCAATATTAGTACCAACATTTGGGTGCAACTGAGGCACATCCCCAAATGGGGGGGTAACAATTTAAATGGTGGTGTGGGGCTGAAAAATGCTGATTTTGGGTTCTCAGTCTTTCAAGGAAGGAATCTCTTCCATAGACCGTCATAAGAATAATATACGATAATTTTTAATTTATAATATAATTTTTTTCTATAATTCTAATAATCATTTGCGTTAGATTTCAACTAAATTGATTGTACGCTGTATTTTACGAACATTAAATTTTGCCTTTGATTTTTGCGCAAAGTGTAAAAAAATCAGTTTTTTTTTTTTCGATTTTTCACCTTCATTCTCTTTCAGCCATTTTGGATTTAAAACTGGCACTAAAAAAATTATCTATCAAACAAAACAAAAAATAAATTCATCGAAATCGGATGAAAACCTTGGAAACGCAAAAACAAGATTCGATCACACACACACACACACACACACACACATACACATATTTTGAGAATTATAGATATTTTTTTTTAAGCGTTTCACCCCAAGCAAGGCGGAAAGCCACCAGTACGCAAGGGGTTATAGAAAATTTAGAGCAAGATCAGATAGGAGTGATAAAAGAAAGAATGAGGAGAAGGGTAGTAGCTATCTACTTTGTTATGTTAATGAGATATTGATGATTTACAAGCAAGGCTGTTTCGTCAAAAAAGTTGGAAATTAAACCAGATTTCAAAGTTTAAAATGCTTAAATTTTGAGTTTATTTTGTTATCATTCATAGAGCAAGTTAACCCAGTAGCAAAAAAAAAAAAAAAAAAAAAAAGTCTGAAATAGGATTCGTACTTCAATTTCAAATACTTTTGTGTAGATATCATTGTAAGAGTTATGGATGCATCTCTTCCTTTCCGGCTATAGATAAACAGTAGGGCAAACTGGACTCTCTAGCCTTGATTGGCAACTGGTCTTAGAGAAAACAACAGAATAAAAAAAACGGCTCGGTGTGCAGCTAGCAATATCGTAAAAATGTAATTAGTAAGGTAATCACAGCATAACACATGGCGTGGTGAGGCATAGTCTCGTTGTGACACTATTTTGTAATGTCAACGAACACTCGTTGTCACTTTCGTAATGCTCGTTGTAGTAGAGACATTGTAATCGCAGATACAACTATAGTAACGCCGTTGAACAATACTGGTGTCAGACGCCTTCGAATAACACTGGCACTAATAGTACTTGCTCGATAATACTGACTAGAATAGTAATCCGTACAGTGATCCGGATAGAGAAATAATATAGAGAATAGTATAGCGATAGAGGATAGACTAGAAATGGTGATCCGAATAGTAATAGAGGATAGACTAGAAATTGCGATCCGTATAGTAATACAGGATAGTAATAGAGGATAGACTAGAAATGGTGATCCGAATAGTAATGGACGATATCCTAGAAATGGTGATCGGAATAATAATAGAGGATAGACTAGAAATAGCGATCGGGATAATAATAGAGTATAGACAATATATGATGATCCGTATAGTAATAGAGGATTGACTGGAAATGGTAATCCGTATGGTAATATAGGATAGACGAAAAATGGTTATCCGAATAGTAATAGAGGATGGACTTGAAATGATGATCCGTATAGCAATAGAGGATAGACGAGAAATGGTGATCCGAATAGTAACAGGAGATAGACTAGGAATAACGATCAATTAATTAGATGTCACGTGACTTCCTACTTATGTGTTGCATCTGTGGTCACGTGGTCTACTTATTTCAATAATGGGATCGCCTGTGTCTGCTTACGTGCGATCTGTGTTCAAACTCAAGTATTGGAATATAACACACTAGCTTGGCATATTCATGACCGTGTGGCCTTATCTGCCAACACTCTTGAGTCTAGATTTATGTTTCGAAATTCCAACCAAAGTACCGTTGTGTTTTCAAACTAAGATATTCTACAGTAGGGAGAATTAGAGAATATATTAGTGCAAGAACTTGTTGTACCGTTGTACGGCTTAATTCTTAAAGAAAACTGATTCTGACTTAACAAAAATTTATCTGTCAACTGCGATTATACATGGTGTTTCAAAAAATGTGATATCCTTTGAGATGTAAATATCACAGAAAGTACATGATTAAGGCAAATGAAATTAAAGAGTATTAATGTTGAAGATCATAAGATTAATTCTTCCAAATCTGAAGGAGAAATTCAAAAGCATGTGGATTATGTGAACGATTTCACAAATGTTCAATATGCGAACCGCCTGAGACACGGCATTTTTATACCTGTAAAGAAAAAGATTAAAGATTAAAAAACATAAAAATACAAATAAGAAAAACACAAAAACATAAAGACATAAAAACATAAAACAAACATTAAACATAAAGATGCTATTAAAATTTGAAGTTATTTGAAGGAGATCTAACAAAGTTATTAGATTGCGAAATGATATCAAATTTTTTGAAACAACCTGTATATTGTGAGCTTATGGAAATTTGATTAATTCGATTTTTACGGCTTATCAACCTTTTGTAGGTTATTTAATGCTAGAAAATCTTTTGGATTGCAAGAATTTTTAACTATAATACTGATAAAGTCCCTAATATTTAACCCATAGCTAGGAAGAGAATTGCTGGATTCCTACCTTTTACAATAATATTTCCAATTCAGAGCTGTTATCCATTACGTTATCCACATACCCAAACTTACATCACCTAGATTCCTAAAGCGGTCACCCATCCAGGTACTGACCAAGCTCGACGTTGCTTAACTTTGGGGATAGGACGAGAACCAGAGTTTTAAAGTGACATGGCTGAAAGCCTGGAAATGTGATGCAGGAAAAAAAAAATTGTAATATTGTAAAGGAGAATTTCATTTATTCTTTTATTGCCACTGATATATTTACAAAGAATGGAGTGAAATATCAACCGCAAATTTAAAGCGAAAATTATCACTTAAGAATTAACAGGAAAAACCTTGCAAATTTAAATGTTGGAAACTTATCACACAATAGCCAGACTTCAGTTCACTAAATTATCCCCCAAAACAGGCGTAAAGTAGGCCTGAGTATTTTAACAAGAAGATCGCAGAGTTAATTACAGAGGCGCTGGGCAGTCGCCATTAGATAAATGTAAACCGTGTCTTTCTTTGATAGCTATGATAACTTGGCGCGTACAAGTTTTAAAATATACGCCGTAAGTTGAAGTAAATTTAATAATAAAAACGAAGGGGACATGTTGCTCTGCAAATGTCTATAGGATGCGAAAACACACTTCCCCAATTTCTTGGAATTATCTTCTCTTTCGTAAATTACAGCAATATTTTCGATAATGGTCCATCAGGAGATGAAAAGATTAGCAAATCATATAACAATTTTCTTCCATCTCGCTCTTCATCGTATCAAACAGACACCGTGTGCAACAAACAGAATTGCAACGATGTGCACAGTTGTTTTGGAGTGTGTTAGTGACATTCTGAGTGCTCACAACTGCTGATAATAGCGCTCGCGTAGTGCAACATAGTAACTTAAAAGTAACATTATATAAAATGCAGATGGAATTCTTGGAATGTGAAAGAGAAGATTGGTAGAGTAGAGAGGGGAGAGTAAGTAATTGATCAAAAGGAAAAAGTGATAAAGGAGAAAGAGGGGTGGAAGAGAGACGTGTTAGAATGAAGAGCTAGAACGAAAACGAGTAACAAGGGAGAGTAAGTATTAAATTAAAATGAGCAGAAAGGTGGAGAGCGTGGATGCTAGCAGTAAAGCAATCGACCAAAAGTTAAGCGAAAGATGACTAAATGAAGGTAGGAGAAACTGGTTGGTAGGACTTGGTATCCGCTTCAATCAAGTCTATCATAAACCATTGCAAGTAATGCATTGATTCATGGCTAGATGCTGGACATACTTAGAATGATTAGTGTGAAGACATCATAAAGAGTCGTATTGAAATGCTAAACCAGACAGAAAGGGTGATATATGTATATAAAGAAGAGCAAAAGAAAAGTGTCAGTGGGAAGAAATGCAGTATTGTAAACACAAAGAGAATGAAATGCAGGGATGTAGAGTAAAGAGGAGAGTAAGGAAGGCGGGTAAGAGAGTGAATAAAAAGGGATACTATGGAAGTAGTTTAAAGAAAGGGAGCAAAGGAGGGAGGTAAGGCGTAAGAGTAATGAAGGAGAGAGAGAGAGTAAGAAAGGAGAATAAAGAAGACAAGTAAGGAGCTTGAATAAGCGAGAATAGTAAGGAGGAAGACAACAAAAAAGAATTGGAGAAGGAGAGTAAGGGAGGAGAGTAAAAAGGGAGAGTAAGGAAGGCGAATATGAGGGCGAATAACCAGGGATATTATGAAATAGAGTAAAAAGGGGATTAATGAAGAAAGGTGAAGAGTAAGGAAGGATTTTAAGGAGGGAGAGTAAGGAAGGAGATTAAGGAGGGAGATTAAGGAAGGATTTGAATGAAGGAGAGTAAGAAAAGAGATTAAGCAGGAAGAATGAAGAAGGATTTGAAAGAAGCAGAATAATAAAGGAGAGTAAGGAGGATGGTAAGGAAGAAGAGTAAAGAAGGAGAGTAAGGAAGGATTTGAAGGGAGGATTTTAAGTAGGGAGAATAAAGAAGGAGAGAAAGGAAGAAGAATAAGGAGGGAGAGTAAGGAAGGAGAGTAAGGAAGGAGAGTAAAGACTGATTTTAAGGAGGGAGAGTAAGGAGGGAGAGTAAGGAAGGATTTGTAGTGAGGATTTTAGGGATGGAAAATAAGGAAGGAGAGTAAGGTTGTAGAGTAAGGAGAGTAAGGAGGGAGAGTAAAGAAGGAGAGTAAGAACAGATTTTAAGGAGAGAGAATAAGGAAGAAGTGTAAAGAGGGAGATTAAGGAAGGAGAGCAAGGGTGGAGAGTAAGGACGGAGAATAAGGAGGGAGAGTAAAGAAGGAGAGTAAGGAAGGAGAGTAAAGACTGATTTTAAGGAGGGAGAATAAGTAGTGAGAGTAAGGAAGTATTTGAAGGGAGGATTTTAGGGATGGAAAATAAGGAAGGAGAGTAAGAGTGTAGAGTAAGGAGAGTAAGGAGGGAGAGTAAGGACAGATTTTAAGGAGAGAGAATAAGGAAGGAGTGTAAAGAGGGAGATTAAGGAAGGAGAGTAAGGGTGGAGAATAAGGAAGGAGAATAAGGAGGGAGAGTAATGAAGGAAAGTAAGGAAGAATAGTAATGACTGATTTTAAGAAGGAGGGTAAGTAGGGAGAGTAAGGAAGGATTTGAAGGTAGGATTTTAGGGATGGAAAATAAAGAGGGAGAGTAAGGTTGTAGAGTAAGGAGAGAAAGTAGGAGAGTAAAGAAGGAGAGTAAGGACAGATTTTTTAGGAGAGAGAATAAGGATGGAGTGTAAAGAGGGAAATTAAGGAAGGAGACTAAGGATGTAGTGTAAGAAAGGATTTTAAAGAAGGAGAGTAAGGAATGAGAGTAAGGAAGGAGAGTAAAGAGGGAATGTAAATAAAGAATATAGGGAAGAATTGATTCTTAGCTCAAAAAGAAATTATGAAGGTTTAAAAATCAAGGAATAGACAGGGAGTAGAGAGAGAAAAGCGTGTCAAAGTCGTAAAAAAGGACACTGGGAGAGTGAAAAGAGAAGAGTAGACATGGGCATAGAAGAAAGGAAAGGATTGCAGTTCACACGGGGAGACTAAAGAAAGAGGAAGAGAAGCGAAGGGTGAAAAAAAGAGCGACAAAGTGATAGAGAAAGAGACTTTAGAGAAAGGATCACGAAAGGGAAGGATTGTGAAGATGGCTATCGCAAAGAAGAAGAGAGAAAGAGAGAAAGAAAGAAAGAAACATAGATAAAAAGAAAGAAGATACAGATAAAAAGTGAAGAAACTAAAAAGAAAGAGAGTAAGATGGAAAAGAGAGTAAGGATGAGCATAAAGAGCGGAGAGTAACGATAGAGAACGCCACTGTCATCGACCCCAATCACGTCAAGTTACACAAAGAAGGAATTAGTTCTTAGAATGGTAGATTACTGCATCTATGCGATTCTAATAGCTTCCATACCTGACGTTAAATTCGAGTCGAGGAGACCTGTTTATTGGACCATCGATATGTAAGCGTTCGGCGACAGCTATGATTTGATATCCGGAAGTTGACAGATATGGCGGAGTGCGGGTGCAAAGACAGTCACTTTTCACTGAGCGATGCGACGGTAATGAGCCACTTCATCTGAACGCATGAGTTATACGGCTTAAATGACGTATGGCCGGCGCAGTCGCCCTAGTCGACTATCCACTTACGTCCCTTGACCATCGCACAAAGCCGAAATGCTATTAACGGACTTAGTTTGAGAGAGTGGTTTGATCACTTTTCCTTTTCACCTTTCTCTTTCTGCTTCGTTCACTCATCACAAAGATAGGTATCTCTCCAGCTTTTCGAGATAGATGTTATATACAAAACAACCGAGCGGGTTGTTGTTCTGTACTTATAAAATCCAGGTCGTTTTTAAAGATATCCAAGTTAATTAATCGATCTATATTAAACTGAATGTGACTGTCTGTCTGTCTATCTATCTGTCTATGCGCGGGGACATATAAAATACCTGGGTTGGTGTCCAAGTATGCGCTAATCCCGCTGGGTGTGCTAGACGCTTTAGCTTTCGGTATGGTATCTAACTCGGAAGAAGAAAGCTCTGATTTAAAACCTGACAATCTAATGATGTTAACGGGTTATTCTTTTGGGGTATATTCTATTCTTGCTTAGACAGTGGGATGGAACCAGGGCAAAGTCTTCCAAAAAAGAGCATGCAGAGGTATTGCTGGATACGGTAAGCGATGGTCATACTTGACGACATAGCAGTCATCTATCTATCTATCTATCTATCTATCTATCTATCTATCTATCTATCTATCTATCTATCTGTTCTATTCGATGTATTTCAGTTGCTTCATACACGTCTCTCTCTCAATCTATCTATCTATCTATCTATCTATCTATCTATCTATCTATCTATTCCATTTCAGTTACTTCAAATACATCTCACTCAGCCTGTTTCTTTCTATCTGTTCTATTCGATGTATTTCAGCTACTTCATACACATCTCTCTCACAATCTGTTTCTATCTATCTATCTATCTATCTATCTATCTATATATATATATATATATATATATATATATATATATCTGTGTGTGTGTGTGAGAGGAGGGAGAGTAAGGAAGGATTTGTAGGGGAATTTTAGGATGGAAAAATAAGGAAGCAGAGTAAGGGTGTCGAGTAAGGAGAGTAAGGAGGGAGAGTAAAGAAGGAGAGTTAGGAGATAAGAGAGAGAATAAGGAAGAAGTGTAAAGAGGGGAGATTAAGGAAGGAGAGTAAGGGTGTAGAGTAAGGAGGAGAGAAGAGAGTAAGGGGAGATATTAAGGAGAGAGAATAAGGAAGAAGTGTAAAGAGGGAGATTAAGGAAGGAGAGTAAGGGTGTAGAGTAAGGAGGGAGAGTAAAGAAGGAGAGTAAGGAGAGAGAATAAGGAAGAAGTGTAAAGAGGGAGATTAAGGAAGGAGAGTAAGGGTGGAGAGTAAGGAAGGAGGATAAGGAGGGAGAGTAAAGAAGGTTCGTTTGAAATTGTATTTCTTAAATTTTTTTTCCATTTTCCTTTTTCTTTTTGTCGTGTTATTTTTTACCTTTTAACTCCAAGCAAGGCTACAAAGCCACTAACATCCAAGGAGTTGCTGAGTGTGAAAGGATAAGAAAAAGAAAAACATTATTAAGGAGAGAGAACAATGGAAGAAGATTAATCAAAGAGACATAAGATAACGATTCTCACTGCATTTAAATTTTAAAAAAATCAAATTTGGCTGTAAAGCAAGAAGCTGAAAGAGCGGTCTATGGGTGAAAAGTGCAAGAAAAGAAACTCTAAGCATAGAACTTGCGGTGACATTTAACCAGTTCAACTGTAAAGTAATGAGATCTTGCCACCAATCTGGTAGTGTGCTTAAATTCATAATGGCTTGGTAACATAAAAGAAAGTTCATCACAACTATTACCATGGAAGTATTTATAAAAAAATACATAGGGATGCTACATTACGGTGGTGAGAAAGTGATGAATCTGGGATGCCAGGTCAGGACCAATAGTATTGCAGATTCTCTTCGGATTTTATCAAGTATCTCTAAATATATAGCAGAAGTACCAGATGTGATATAAATATTAATGTATGAATGAATGGTAGACTTATAAATACATTAAGTCAATTGCTTCTTCCACCGCGAGGAAAGTTGGCTCTCTATGTCGTGCCAGGAAATGTTTCTCCCCTGAATCGATACTCCAAATATACAAAACAACCATTCGCCCTTGCATGGAGCATTGCTGCCATACATGGACTGGGGCACCGTCTGCTTACCTCGGAGTTCTTGACAAGATCCAGAGACAGATATGTAATCTAATTGGCCCTGATCTGGCGTCTAGTCTACAGTCACTCTCTCACAGACACGCCGTCGCCTCTCTCTGTCTTTTCTACAAATACTTCCATGGTAATTGCTCCGATGAGCTGCTTTCACTGGTTCCCAGACTCCATGAATTCAAGCGCCCTACGAGGCTGGCATCGCGCTCCCACCCCTACACTGTAGAAACTTTTAAATGTAGCCGTCTCTTCTACTCTAATAGCTTCATACCTCGCACCTCTCGCCTGTGGAACACCCTTCTCTATTCCAGTTTCCCTGAGAGCTATAATCTCCAACTATTCAAATGTAATGTCAATCGACACCTCCAGTTACCTTGATCTATCCACTATCCTTCTCCTCATCCTTTCTTCTATCTCCAAATCTTCCGCAACCCCCTAGTGGCTTCACGCCTTGCTTGAGGCGTAATGCTTAAAAAAAAAAATATATATATAAGATAAATTTTGGGCATCTCGGCGTGGTGTAATGGTTAGCAAGCTTGTCTCGCTAGAACAATTACAACTGAGTAGTGAGTTCGATCCTCACTGGGTGGTCCATACTTCTGGCTTTGTCCCACATCTAAGCAGCGCTTAGAAAATCACTGTATAAGATAGATTCTGGAGAGAAAAATTTTCTGGCACCGAACAGTAAAAAAATCTTTCCTTTTTACAATAATGTTCACTCTGTACAATGCCCAAGAGCAACTCCAATTAGAAGGTTACAGAGTAAGAGATAAAGGGCACAGTTTATGTGGATATATGGGTAAGATAATCTAGACTTGAACAGGTTAAGATTGTAGTGATCGGAGAATTAACCTCTTCCATTTGTATTTCGACGCTACACATTCTTTTTAACGTATTCTGTCATTTATTTTCCTTTTCCTCATATTATTTGACCCCCCCCGACTTCTACCCTCAACTGTTTTGTTATTATCTCAGCTTTTAAGCCGTTATGCTCTCCGGGCTTCATCAGGTACTTGTCGATCCGGGCAATTTTCCGGGAATTTCGATTTGAAGCGTTAAATAATATCCGAGTTGCAAATAATGTAAATAATGATAACTCCTTATCTGAGAAATTCAGACAGAAGACAATCAGGTGATAATAACAACAAAGATGAGGATATTAGTCTATATGTAAATAATGAAATCTCATCATCCCAGAAATTCAGACAGAAGACAATCAGATGATAATAAAAAAAAAGATGAGGATATTAGTCTGAATGTAAATAATGATAACTTCTTATCTGAGAAATTCAGACAGAAGACAATCAGGTGATAATAACAACAAAGATGAGGATATTAGTCTATATATAAATAATGATAACTCCTCATCCCAGAAATTCAGACAGAAGGTGATCAGCTGATATTAACAACGAAGATGAGGATATTAGTCTATATGTAAATAATTATAATTCCTCGTCCCAGAAATTTAGACAGAAGGTGATCAGGTGATAATAAAAACAATGATAAGGATATTAGTCTGAATTTAAATAATAACTCCTCATCCCAGAAATTCAGACAGAAGGTGATAGTGATAAAAAGATAAGGATATTAGTCTGAATGTAAATAATGATATATCCTCATCCCAGAAAATAAGAAAGCAGGCAATCAATGTAAAAAATGTAAAAAATGATAACTTCATATCTTAGATGCATAAATTTTCGTTTTTTCCTTTTTTTAATTGTTTCTCTTCTTTTCATCCTCGCCGCTATACATTCTTCGTTGTAGTCTTTTAATTATATTTAGCCTTTGATTTTCTTCCTTTTTTTTATTCATTCACTCCACATTTTTATTTTCTTTTTTCATTGTTACTTGTTCTTTTATTTTCATATTTTTAAATATCTTATTTTAGATTTTTCACTCATTCTTCTCCTCAATTATTATGTTTAATGATATATCCCTTCAGACGATCATGGCTCTCCACAGACTCCTTTTCTTTGTTATCTGTGAATTGCCATGACTTCTTAGGAAGTAGAGTAGAATGGTTTCCCGTTGCCTTCTCCATAGTTTTGAATTCCAAGTAATTCTTCTAATAGTCTGTCTGTCAAAACTAGATATCCCCGTCTACCCTACTATTTAATCTTTAGTTAGGTGAAGAAGATATAAATTAATCCCTCTGCATTTCTTAAATATTTTAACTCTCTCACTGATTTTTCTCTTTCTCAATTTTAATTTTTATTGTTATAGGGTGTTGCAATAACGTGTTAAAGTTATCGAAGCCTATTACGAAAATGGAAGTTCAAACATAAATGCATTTTACGCACTTCGCGATTTTTTTGGTGAACATAATCGACCAACCGAGAGTGCACTTGGAAAAATTGTCTGTAAATTCAAACAAACTGGGTCGGTGGCAGATGTGAAAACACCATTGCGTGCTTGTTTACGGCGTTCAGCTGAAAACATAGCTGCAGGTATGTGGCTGGAACTTCAGACACTCCTATTCGTCAATGAACCTCTCCCAACAATTCTACATCGAATACTGACAACAGATTTGTCTCTACACGCTTACAAAATTCTATTGACACAAGAACTGAAACCAGCTGACCATTTGGAGTGCCGTACTTTCGTCAATTGGATGCACCAGCAAAGACAAGCTGATGAAGATTTTTCGCAAAAAAAAAAAATCCTCTTTAGTGATGAAGCCCATTTTCATCTTGGCGGATTCGTTAATAAGCAGAATTGTCGTATTTGGGCTGATGAAAATACCAGGAAGATTGTTAAAAAGCCACTGCATCCACAAAAGGTCACTGGTGTGCATTTTTTGCTAGCGGAATCATTGGGTCGTGTATTTATAAATTTGAACGTCCATTTTCGTAATAGGCTTCGATAACTTTAACACCTTGTTTGATTATTAATCTTTCCATGGTTGAAATTGCCAAAG